ACACACACACACACACACACACACACAGAGGAACTTCTTTATCGTCTCCTAATTGTACAGCCTTAGTCAGGCCTGTCATTAGTTTTAACATATCATACCTCAGTTTCCCTGTCTGTAAGGTAGACGTAATAGGACGTAATGTGCTTAATCAAAGATCATGCTGAAGTTAAATGAGCTAATAAATGTAAAACGCTTAGGATAGTGTCTAAGAGCTCAATAAATATTAGCTGCTATGTATTTATGTAATAAATAAAAATATACACATAATAGCTAAACACATTAATATCATTTCTAAGTTATAAAACTATGGATGGTTCTCTTTTCCTCCAGCAATTTATTTTCCCACATAATTTTTATAATCAGATAAAAATAATTCTGACACACAAAATGTGACCCTCCCACACAGAACTGGCATCCATATGACATTACAGCCAAACTATAAACTTCAGTCTCATAAGTAACAGCTACTTTCCATTTTTAAGTTTATGTCCTGGTGCCATTTCTCCCTGAGACTTCTCTTGTATTATACACTTTCTTAAAATATATACCCCATATTTTTCTATTTTTCCTTCAAAATGCAGGACAATTTTATGTAGTTGCCAGCCAGACATCATGACCTATAAGTTCAAAAATTATATGAAATATAATTAGCTTCTTAAACTTGTGAACCCTTCAGAATCAACTACTCATGCCCCCAATTTTAGAATAATTTCAACCCCTATTTTACTCACTCTAAATGCTATTTATTCTATTTCCCTAATGTCCCCTGCCACCATCTCTTTTACCACTCTTGTAGTTTAGGTCCTAAGTATCTCTTCCAAATGAGTATAACCACTTTTTGATAAATGTCCAGTTTCATACTTAAAATCTGTTACTTGAAATGCCTTCCTAAAAAAATGGATTTGATCATGCTATTTGCCTGAAAAACCTCTGCCATTTACTATACACACACCCACACAGACACATGCTGCTCAGTCAGGTTTTCAAAATCCTCCAGTGTTTGATTGATCTCTACCTAACATTTACCATACCCTCACTCCTTACCCCTAAGCTCAAACAAAGATTATGATCTAATCACTGCAAATCACTCTGCTTTCAAATCCATTCTGAATCCCTCCATCTGTGCTTGTGCTATGCCCGTGCCCTGGAAGGCCCTTACTCTCATTACTTTTCTGACAAAGTCTGCCTCAAATCTTATAAATTAACAACAAAAAACTTTCTAGGCTCGGCGTCTGCAGCTCAAGCAGCTAAGGCGCCAGCCACATACACTAGAGCTGGCGGGTTCAAATCCAGCCCAGGCCTGCCAAACAACAATGACATCTATATCCAAAAAATAGCCAGGCACTGGGGTGAGCGCCTATAGTCCTAGCTACTTGGGAGGCTGAGGCAAGGGAATCGCTTAAGCCCAGGAGTTGGAGGTTGCTGTGAGCTGGGATGCCACGGCACTCTACCCAGGGCAATAGCTTGAGGCTCTGTCTCCAAAAAAAAAACCCAAAAACTTTCTAGATCCCTTTATTCAAAATTAATCTCTATTATCACATTAGTTTATAGCACAGTGCATTTACTGAGGATACAATTATTTCAGTAACCGTAATGTGAGCTTCAAGAGATCAGGGGCCAAAGTTTATCTCTCTGTAGCCCCTATGGTGTCTATAATATAAAAGTATATTTGTGCTGTTATGATATAAAAGAAATATATATTTGGTCTCTGACCAGAGTTCCTGACATAGAGCTCCTTTCAGTTCTTGTAATTCGCTAAACAATAGTGTTACTGGGAGAATCTTTTGTTCTTATATTTGGTCTTTGACTCCAGTTTCTGACACAGAGCTCCTAAGACTTCTGTTATTTCCTGACTGATAGGAGCATCTTTTATTAAGATGATTCTTGGCTCGGCGTCTATAGCTCAACTGGCTAAGGCGCCAGCCACGTACACCTAAGGTGGTGGGTTCGAATCCCCAGCCCGGACCCGCCAAAACAACAATGACGGCTGCAACCAAAAAAAAACAAAAAATAGCCGGGCGTTGTGGCGGGCGCCTGTGGTCCCAGCTACTTGGGAGGCGGAGGCAGGAGACTCGCTTGAGCCCAGGAGTTGGAGGTTGCTGTGAGCTGTAATGCCACAGCACTCTACCCAGGGGGACAGCTTGAGGCTCTGTCTCAAAAAAAAAAAAAAAAAGATGATTCTTGTTGGATAGCCTCAAAATGGAAAAGGACTGCTAGGTGAACCAAGCATATGATTAGAGAGCTGGAACTTTCACCCTATTCCTCAACCTCAGAGAGGAGAAAAGGGCTGAAGGTTGGTTGAGCTGATCATCAATGGTCAGTGACTTGGTCAATCATGCTATGTTAATAAGCCTCTATAAAAACCCAAAAGAACTGGGTTTAGAGAGCTTTAAGATAGTTGAATATACAGAGGCTCTGGAGGATGGCGCATCAGGATGGCACAGAAGCTTTGTACATCTTCCCACATACCTCACCCTATGCATTTCTTCCATCTGGCTGTTCATCTGTATCCTTTGTAATATCCTTTATAATAAATGGGCAAATACATGTACAAGTTAAAAAAAAGCATTTCCCTGAGTTCTGTGAGCCTTCTTAGCAAATTAATCAAACCCAAGGAGGGAATCCCAATTTATAGTAAGTCAGTTCAGTCATAAGTACATATCACAACCTGGGACTTGTGACTGGCATCTAAAGTAGGGGGCAGTCTAGTGAATCTGACACTATCTCCAGACAGTAAGTATTAGAACTGGGTTGAATTAGAGGACAACCAATTGTTGTCTGCTGTAGAATTGCATATGTATGGGGAGAAAACCTGGTGTCAGAAGTACTGTACTGAAATAGTATGTGAGAATAAGAAAAATACTTTGGGCTTTTTTCCCTATTTCTATAACAGAGTAGGCACACTTAATCAATTGTATTAACAATATGGAAAGTCTAGAACAGCTAAAACCAAAAAGAAAGCTCCATGTGGGAGGAAAGTTCTATACCCTCAGGAAGTTCAACAAAGTATATAAAATGGAGGTAGGGAAGTAGGTAGATTAGTATCTTTATTAATGTTAATGGGATCCACACAACCACTGAGCATAGCACAAAGCTAAAAAGGTAACACACATTGATGGACATAGTCATTGTCTGCCAAGTATTCATTCTCCTTCTGCTGATAAATTTCCTTTATGGGAAAACCTTTCTCCTCAATTCACCTTAAGCGGCCTTAATCTCAATCTCATATCAAGGGTGATCATGAGTCTAAAACTAGCTAATCAGAAGAATCTACACATTGGGCAACAGTGATCATTCAGGTACAGCCACTTGGGCCAACCCAAACCAATTAAATCAAACCAGAATTGTAAGAGGCTCCTGGCTTTGGTTCTTATAACTCTTTCCTCTCCAGACTTACAGCTTACAGAATGGGTACTGGGAGTGAAGTTATGTATGATGAGGATAGAGCCTGGCTGAAAAATGAAACCAAAAGGAATTGGAGACCAACCCCTAATAACATGGATCTAGCCTAGGTTTACCTAAAATTTTCAGTTAACATGAATAAAATAAATAGGGAGCTAATAAATTCTGTCTTACTCAATCTCATTTGAATTGGTTCTCCTACCAGTTAAAGGACATTGGTAAGAAAGAATCTTTCTAGACTGAACACAGTGGCTCATGCCTATAATCCTAGCGGTCTAGGAGGCTGAGGTGGGCAGATGGCTTAAGCTCATGATTCAAGATCATCCTGAGCAAAACACAAGACCCCATCTCTAAAAATAGCCGGGGTGTGTGGTGGGTGCCTATAGTCCCAGCTACTCAGAAGGCTAAGATAAGAGGATCACTTGAGCCCAAGGGTTTGAGGTTGCTGTAAGCTATAATGCCATGGCACTCTAATAGGAGCAACAAAATGAGACTCTGTCTCAAAAAAAAAAAGAAACAGAAAAAGAAAGAAAGGGTCTTTCTCAGTGTAGGAATTAGAAATTAGCAAGCTTGTTATGTCAGAAATAATACAGACTTGAGAGGATTTGGTTTTATATTCTGGTTCTAATACTATCTGCCCAACACTGGGCAAGAAAATCCAATCTTTTGAACCTTTGCATTCTTCATTATACAAAAAAAAATTAACTGCAACTATGAATTGTAATCAAATGAGAAAGTAACTCAGAATCTTCCACAATAACACTCAATATTATTCAAATGTTGTAAGGCTCTTCGTATAGTCACTGAAAGTCATTTAAATTTAATCCTTTCAAGGTAAGATTATCATAAAGAATAAAAACAGGCTTGGTGCCTGTGGCTCAAATGGCTAAAGCGCCAGCCACATACACTTGAGCTGGCGGGTTCGAATCCAGCCTGGGTCCACCAAGCAACAATGACGGCTGCCATCAAAAAATAGCTGGGCACTGTGGCGGGCACCTGTGGTCCCAGCTACTCAGGAGGTGGAGGCAGGAGACTTGCTTGAGCCCAGGAGTTGGAGGTTGCTCTGAGCTTTGATGCCACAGCACTCTACCCAGGGCAACAGCTTGAAGCTCTGTCTCAAAAAAAAAAAAAAAAAAAAATAAAAATAAAGTTATTTCTCTGATCTACCTACAAAGAGTTATAGATTAGTTAAAAAAAAAAAAAAAGAAATGTATTGGATACAAGGTTGAAAATACTACATTCCTAAAAATAAGCTACTCAAAGAACAGAATTCTACCTCTATGACTCAACTACTATTTTTATGAGGTCACTTGTTTTATCTTTTTAAATGATTCCCCAACAAAAATATTTACCTTCAAAGTATATACTCCCATTCTACCTGGAACTTTATAGAAGATGCCTTCTTCACCTCTGGAGTTTGTGTGCAGCATTGCATTCAGGCATGCAAGAGGGGAGGTTCCACTGCAAAACAGAAAGAGGAAGAACACAATGATTTGACTGTCTCTGAATATCTAAGTTAACAGACCTAACATAAAATTGGTCAGTATCCCTTTGACTTACCATTTTTATAAACTATAAAAATATCAATATAGAAGAAGGCTGCCATAGAGAAAAACAGATGTAAAATTCATTCCCGTCTATCTAAAAAAATGTAATTCCTTAATCCCAAGTGAGTGTCTAAGATACAAATCAGGTAAAATACAGCAGTATCACAAAAATGTTTTGTTTTATTCTATTTTGTTTAGCACAAGCTTTACAAATGTCCAGAGGTAAAAGTATGCATGTACACACATATACACACACATAGATTCAAATAAAGTCTTAATTCCCTGGCATAGTGCTACACTAAATTGAATCTGGATTGTGAAATCTAACACATTGCCATGATCTCTTCTATTTGAACCTACCGAGAGATCACTTAAAAAGGTATTAAGTAGGTTTATGAATACTCATTATATATGTAGCAACTTGGTTAGATGTTTATTCTAATATATACATATTTTCTAGAATTTTAGTATGTGATAAATTATCCATAAAAAATAAACATTCTTTTCTAACTGTAATCATGTTTTGTTTTCCTACCTTTTTGTTCTTGTCTAGCAAAACAAATAGCAATAAAAATTATTAATAAGCCTTCTTGGTTTGTCCCTTTATTAAGGGAATGGCACTAATATCTCACCACTAAGCCTAATGTTACTTTACTGTTTAAGACTATAGATTAGAAGCACGCTTTTTAACAAACAGCAAATAAAATCATCTGCATTAAATACTTTAGTACAAAATATCAAACATGGCTAGCATAAAATTTAAAATGGTCTTTATCTCAGATGGATGATTAACCTTTAGTTTTTATGCAACAGAAGTTATAAAAAGATCAAGAAATCAGATACTGACTCGGCGCTTGTGGCTCAAGTGGCTAAGGCGCCAGCCACATACACTTAGGGTGTTGGGTTCGAATCCAGCCCGGGCCGCCAAACAACAATAATGGCTGCAACCAAAAAATAGCCAGGCACTGTAGTGGGCGCCTGTGGTCCCAGCTACTTGGGAGGCGGAGGTAGGAGACTCGCTTGAGCCCAGGAATTGGAGGTTGCTGTGAGCTGTGATGCCATGGCACTCTACCCAGGGGGAAAGCTTGAGGCTCTGTCTCAAAAAAAAAAACAAAAAAAAAACAAAAAAAAACAACAAATTGGGAACAAGTCAGGAGTCTCTGAAGATACATGGTATCCTTAAATTTGTTTTTGTTTTTTTTTTTAAACTTCTCACAACTGCTTACTTCTACCTCTTCTCCCTCTCAGGTCTCTGTTGTTGCTACTCAATAACCAGAAATAAGCCTACTAGAAGAGGCTACTAGATACCTCAAGTATACCTAAAGTGAGAGAGAAATGAGTCCACTTACATGGTCTTTTGGTACCATGTAAGTGTTAAGCGTCAAAAACTGGAGACTTTTGCTCCCCCTTACACACAGGTGGAGAACAACAACAAAGAAAATACAGAAACACCTTTAGCTGAAGAAAATGTTGAGCATCTCCAGGTTGATTTTTATAGTTATGTTTATCCAATTTGGATACGTCCATGTTAAAAATACAAATAATGCAACTTCAATCAGGACCCAAAAGCATCTATCAAATAAAAAAAAATTCTAGAAAAAAATGAAGAACTTGCTTAAGAATAAACTAAGCATTACTGAAGCAGTGTGTTTCTAGGACAGGAAAAATGGGCAAATAAACACTCTTATAGACTACAGGAAGAAGAAAATAGCAAATACTAGAAACAGACTGTTAATAAATTTAAAGGGTACCATTTACGTTTAATAGGAAAAAGGTGGGGTCATGCCATGGTCACCTATAGTTTGATTATTTGGCATCTGTTCCCTCTTCTTCTGGAGACAGTACTAAAATTACCTGCGAAATGGGTCCTTTTCCCATTGTTAGTCATGTAGATGAGACAGACTTAAATCCCACATTCTTCACAGGGGTAAATCCAAACTGACTAATATCTACTAAGAGTATTAGGATTAAGGCCTAAAATGTTCAATCATTGTGTGACTATGAGGGAAGGATCTGGAATCAAGTGGAACACATAGGACTGAGGAATGACACAGAAAGGATTACAAGGAGAAATACAACATCAAAAAGGGCAGAACTCAGGAAAGGGGAGGAAGCAATATTTTTCTAAGCATTATTACTTTTGCCACTGTGTCAAACCTTGCCTTAAACCACTCCCATCTTTAAAATCTTTTTGAGGGTTAAGTCATAAGAAACACAAACCCGTGAGAAACTCAAACACAAAACCATGAGAAAAAATAAAGGATATGAACAAATGATTCATAAAACATCAGTGCACATAATCAAAAAAAAACAAAAAAGTTCAAACTTAATAGTTACAAAAAGAAAGCAAATTAAATCAAGATACTATTGGTTTGAGTGGGAGAAATGAATAGACTCAAGCCTTAGTTAAGTCTTACACAAGTCAATTTACTGGTTTGTATGTTGTACTTATTTCTGTAAGATATTACCATTGAGGCTCGGCACCTGTGGCTCAAGTGGCTAAGGCGCCAGCCACATACACCTAAGGTGGTGGGTTCAAATCCAGCCTGGGCCTACCAAACAAAAATAATGGCTGCAACCAAAAAAAAATAGCCAGGCGTTGTGGCAGGTGCCTGTGGTCCCAGCTACTTGGGAGGCGGAGGCAGGAGACTCGCTTGAGCCCAGGAGTTGGAGGTTGCTGTGAGCAGTGATGCCACGGCACTCTACCCAGGGGGACAGCTTGATGCTCTGTCTCAAAAAAATAATTAATTAATTAATTAATTAATTAAAAAAAAAAGATATTACCATTGAAGGAAAATTGGTGAAATATTTGTGGAACGCTATAATTATTTCAAAATAAAAAGCCAAATAGATTGAGAAAAAATCCACTGCTAATAAGGTCAAAGGCTAATGAACACTCTTACTGACCGTGGGGTGGTGAAAGGGGGAATTCAACCTTCCCCACATTTCTCATTTCTGCCTCAGGAAAGTAACGTGGAAGTATCCATTAAAATAAAAATATTTGGGACCCCTGATCCAACAACCCCACTTGGATCTATCCTACAAAAATAAGATCATAAGGAATTCTGGGAAGATGGTAGCAACCCTCGTTAGGCTCCTGAGCAGAGGAAGAAAAACTGGATGGAATCAGACTCTAGGAAGCTAAAGACAAGGAGGTGAGCCAAGACAGAAGTTCAGCAAGCTGTAACTCCAAGGAAGAGAATTCAAGAAAACAAATTACAGGTACAAAGCCTATCGACTAGAGGATGGGAGACCCCTCCCCTAAGCAGACTATCTGCAAAAGACCTCTCATTTTACCTTGCTGGAGAGATCTGCTAAACTCCAGGTCTCTTTCTCCAGGGAGGTCCCACTTATGAATTAAACGGATATTTTTACCCCCAAGTCCAAACTCCCAGTCCACCCTTTCCCCCTCGCATGGCAGCCTGAAGTTATGCCCCCTGCAGAGCATAGTGTTTGGTCTTGTCCTGAGAGACCTGGGCATAATGTGGACCACCAACCATCAGGATGGAATCTGTGACTAACGGGGAAGAAAGAGGGTGTGGGAAGAAAGGGACACTCAGCGAGACGAGGTGCAGTCCCCTGGTTATGACTATGCCAGGCCAGTGGTAGTGTTGACCCTTGGCTCGGGCTATGTCTGGAGGGACAAGGTACAGAACCCCCGGCTCTGATAGCATCCACAAGCAGGAGAGTGGTTGCCCCGTGTGGACCGAGTTCCACAGACAGGGCTGGTCCCTGCGGGGGCCCTCGAGCAGAGGCTTGATAGGCGAGGACTGGGACCGGAGAGCAAGGGCGTGGTATCCTGATTCCAACAGAACCCTCCAGCAGCAGCTTATTGGGTGTGAACCAAGCCCTGAGGGCCAGGGCATGCCCCACTGCTTCCAGTGGGGCTGGTGAGCAGAAGCTCACTAGATGAGGACTGAGACCTGTGGGCAGAGTGTGGTGTCCTGACTCTAAGAGAGCCTGTGAACAGAGGCTTGCCAGGTAATGGACTGAGACTGGCAGACGGGGTGTGATCCCCTGACTCCATCTGGTCTGGAAAGCAGAAGCTAGCTGTGTGTGGACTGAGACCAGAGGGCAGGCCCAGTGTCCTGACTTCAATTGAGCCTGCAAACAGAAGCTGGCCTGGCAGTGGACTGAGACTGGCAAGGCAGGATGTGGTCCCCTGACTCCAACTGGTCTGGCAAGCACTACTCCAGACCCTACTCCAGAGGCTAGCTGTGTGTGGACTGAGACCAGTGGGCGGCGGCATTGCCCCTGGCTCCAGCTGGGCCTGTAAGCACAGAAACAGACAATAGTGTGGACTGAGTCTGGCGGGTGGGAGTGTGGATCCCTGGCTCTAATTGTGCTTTGAATCCCCTTGCTTTGAATTGTCCTTGAATCCCTCTCTGCTGGGCAGGGTTTGTACTGTCAGAGACAATTTGGTTGGAACCTGTGTCTGGGGCTGTCCACTCTGGGACATTCTGAGGTTGACCTTTGAAGTTCTGTACTGGAAAGAACTGAAGGGTGGGGGCTGGGCACTGCAGCTGTTTGTATCTCTTCACAGTCGAGATTTAAATCTAATAGTGTGGTTTCTTAGAATAGGGTAGAAGTTGGCTGATATCAAAACAGAGCTAGCCTGAACTATCTCACCAAGTAGGTCCTCAGAGTCCCCAGCCAAAACTCTAAAAGGGGCCTTTGTAAGGCTGCAGGAGATAAGCCACAATCACAAAGCCTAGAGCTTTGGTAAGGGACTATCTCTACTACCTGGGAAGCCTAATTCAATCTCACCCTACCAGTTCTAATAACCAAACAGTGGAAAATAAACATGCTGCAGACCCAACAGAAGAACTCTGGCAACATGAATAACCACAGTACATCAACCCCTCCAAGAAATATCAAGGAGATACAATTGAAGATGCATGCACAGACAAACAG